GGGGGGGGGGGGCAGCCGACGTACGAAATCGGACTTCATGTGCTTGAGCACGAAGATCTCCTTGAGCATGGAGAAGAGGACCTTGCTCTCGGGGCTGGGGTTGCGGTAGTTCTTGAGCGCCAAAATCTGCTCGGTCTCCACACATTGAACCTTGCTGCAGGGGGCGTGTGTGTGTGTGTGTGTGTGGGGGGGGGGGTGAGACGGGACCACGCCGTGGGGCGGGGGGACGAAACCAATCCGATGGCCCGCGAGGCAGGAGCAAGGGAGGAGGGGGGAGGGGGAAGGGGAGGAAAAGAAAGGCCGAAAGGCACGGCAGGGAGGGAGGCGGCCCCGGATACGCACAGCACCAGGGATTTCTCCTGGGAGTAGATCTCCTCCAAGATGCGATACTTGCGGCTCGGCGAGGTGATCACTCCGTTTGAGGAGTTACCGACGGAGATTTCGCTGCCGGGGGCGGCTTCGGGGTGCGAGTCATTTCGCTGGCTGAGGGTGACGGCCGACATGTCTCACGGGGGAGGGCCTCCCGCGAGGGGGGTGACTCGGGGCGCTGGCACGTAGCGGAGCGAGGCGGTGGGGAGGCCGAGGCGCTGGAGGCGACGCGTCGGCGCGGGCGGCAGCGGGGCGGATGCAAGGCGTCGGGGACAGGGCAGGATGCTGGCGGCGGGCGGGCAGGCAGGCGAGCGAAGGAGGGATGAGTCGGTGGGCTGGCGCCATTCGGCGGAGTGGCGATCTGAAAAAAGTCCTTCCACCCAGATCTCAGACCCCGGGGGGGAGAGGAGGACGGGGCTGGAGAAGTGGCGCCCAGACTCTCGACCGAATGTCCCTGCAGAGGGTGACAGAAAGAGGCAGAGAAGCCCACTCGCTTACAGACCGTGCGCGCGCGCGCGCGCGAGGGAGATGGAGATGCTGTATATTGGGCGAGTGTGTCGCCAGGGGGGGGGGGGGGAGTACGTGGAGAGCATGCGAAGGAGATGTTTGATGTGCCGGCGAGAGTGGTGTTCGCCCGGACGAATGGGCATGAATTGGCTGTTGCGCCAGTGAGCCTCATTTTGGCAATCGAGGGCCGGAGGGCGCGCCGGCCGTGGGCGTGGCGAGAGCCAGCCAGAAGGCGGGGGAAGGGCCGGCGGGGGAGCAGAGCGCCCGAGAGGAGGAGGCACAGGCGCACACACATGCAAAGAGGGAGGGTGTACTGTATATTGGGGAACTGACTTGAGGGGCAGGGAGCCTCAGAGGGAGAGTGAGGGCGGGCATGTATTTGGGCGTCGGGCCACGACGGCGAGATCGGGGTCCTCTTTGATCTTCTTCTTTCTCCTTTCGCCACACCTGGGGCAGGGGACAAAGCAACATGGGGCGCGCGCGCTCGGGCGGCGCCCGGTCCATGACGGCGTCTAGTTCGTGGCGGCCGAGGCGGCAGCCTGGCGGGCCTCCTTGGCCATGCGGCTCTCGTACTCGATCTCGAAGGCCTTGGCCTGCATGAACTCCACAAGGACTGGGCAGCAAAGGCAAATGGGTGAGCATGGGCGGGGTGTGAATGTGGCGAGTTGGACAATCATCAAGAGAGAGAGAGAGGGGGGGGGGAGCGAGGGCGACAATCGCGCACCCTGCATGTTCTGCTGGGCCTGCTGGATGCTGGCGTTAAGCTGAGCCAGCTCGGCATCCAGCATGGCGTCCTTGCGCTCATAGTAAGAGGCGGCCTGAGTGACAGACTGCGAGGCCGGAGGGGGGTCGGGGTCAGCAATCGGCGCTGTAGATGCGGGGCAGCGGGCATATCCATGCGCACACGCGCAGGAGCACAGGAATGAACATGTTTTGCAAAAAAAAATAATAATATGTGTGGTGCGAGGGGGAGCCATACCATCTTGATGAAGTAGTCAGTGCCGACGTCGACGAGGACGTGGTTGACATCGGTCAGGGTGCCCGGAACGTAGAGCTTTTGCGGGGACAGAAGGAGAGGGTGAGTGGCCAGGGCGGGGGGATATCATTGCGGGTGTAGCTCGGGGGGGGATTCACAAGAAAGCCCGCCCAGGGAAAGAGGGCGTACAGAGGTGGTGATCGGGAGCATGATGTTCTTGTCTGCAGCGGGAAGCAACGGAGCGAGCGGGGACAGGGGAGAGCCAGGAGGGTGGAATGTCAGTGGTGAGTAGGGGGCAGCAAGCTGCAGCGAGTGGGGAGGTGCCCCGGGCGCACCCTTGTTGTCGGGCTTCATGACCGACAGGGCGGCGGCCGAGGAGAGGAAGCGCATCTTCGACTCGCGCAGGACCGAGTAGGAGCTGGTCAGCATGTTGATCTCCTGCGGAAGGAGGACGATGGGGAGCAGAGGGTTAGTTAGACGAGGAAAAGCCCCCCCTCTCAAGGGGGGGGGGAGGGGGGGCGAAGGAGGCTGAAGGACTGCGAACCTGGGACATCTGGCGCTGGGCCTCCTGCAGCTGACCGAGAGTCAGACGGCTGAGGTCGAAATCCTGGATGGAGGTGGCCATTATGACACTGTGGACCGGCGAGGGTGGCGACGAGACATGTGTGCATGTGTGCGTGTGTGTGTGAGAGAGAGATACTCAGAAGGAGGGTGGGCGAAGGGGGGACGGGGCGGGGGGGGGGGAGGGAGAGGGAGAGAGAGAGAGGGAGGGAGGCGCGGGCATACGTGGGAGGGAGGTCTGGCTGGGGCAGGGGAGAAGGGCAGACAGGGGAGGGGGGAGGAAAGGGGAAGAGGTGGTCTGCCGAGGGCGGCGGGCGGCGGACGCTGCATGGCGGCCTCCCAAGAACTCGGGCGAGGACCTGCGCATCGGCTGGCGGGGCCCTCCCCCCGCGCGAAACAATGTGCGTTGCCAATGCGCGCGCGCGCGCGCGACGGGGCGGCGAGACGCCAGAGCGTGGGCACTAGTAGGGTGGCACCTCGGGCCGCCGTAGTCCTATCCTCGTTCGAGGCCTGCCTGGGTGGACGAAGTTCGAGGGGGGGGGGGGGGACATGCCACGGTCGCAAGGCATGTTGAATTCCCGCGCTGGCTTCGCCCCCATGGAAGCAGTCCCAGCTGTTGTACGCTAGTGGGCCGCAGTGCCTAGGTATGTAGGTGTGTGTGTGTGTGTGTGTGTGTGTGTGTGTGTGAAGGATGGCCTTTTTGATGATGTGTTTTCAATGTATTTATTTCACCAGGCAAGGCACCGCCCCCCAGCTTACATAGACCGCGGGGCAGGGTCGTTGACCACCCGAGCGGCCAGACGTTCGGTCTCGGCGCGCTGCTCATTGCGGTACTTGACGAGGGCCAGCTCGTCATTGTGCTCGCTTTCCTGGCGACGGCGCTGCAAGCGGATGGCACGCTGGGAAAGGCGTCCAGAGAGAGCTGTGAGGCGGTCCATCTCGGCCTTGAGGGCCAGCAGTCTGGCGGTCTGTGGCCCGGCATCTTGGAGCTGTGTGTGTGTGTGTGTGTGTGTGTGTGTGTGTGTGTGTGAATAGGCACGCATGCAAGTATGGATGGGTGTGCATCCTGGGATATATGCACATGTGTGAAGGAACAAATGCGTCGGAGGGGGAGCGAAGAGAGGCGGCGCGGTTTGAAGAAAAAATGGCCAGGATGGTGGGGGCGGAGGAGAAAAAAAAAGAGCACGGGCATGACACATACGGCCTTTTTGACCTCGGGCGGAAAGGCCGAGCGGGTGGGATCCGCGGCGTCTCCCCAGCGGGCTGACGCCTGGCGGAGCTCCTCCAGCAACGCAAGCTGGCTGGATCTGAGGGGGGGGGGGAGAGGGTCAGCATGTTGACAGGAGGCGGGGAAAGAGCCGGCCCAGGACGCCGCCGCGGCCACCTTCGGTGTGGGATACGTCGGCCCCAAGGAGGGACAGAGGGGAGGCCAGGGGGGGGGGGGACGCACTCAAGTTCGGAGATCATGGATGAGGCGTCACGAATCAGCGGGAACACTTGGGACACCAGCAGCTCCGGCATGGTTGTGGGCAGGGGGACCGCCGGAGGCGCAGGCTGAGGAGCAACCGCGAGCGCAGCCGCCGGATCGGGCAGCGCCTGGCCATCGGGCGCATGCTGCGCCGGCGAGGACGACGAGCTGGTCTCCGGGGCAGCATCATCGGCGGGATCCCCTTGCACTGGCGGGTCGCCAGTCAGGCGGTCTTGCCCGCCGGCAGGGCTCGAGGCGGCCAGCAGGGTGGAGCTCTCGTCTCCGGGCAGGGCCGATGAGGGAAGCTGCTCGGCGTCGGCCTCACCCTTGAGGATCCTCTTGCGGCCAGTACGCTTGGACATCTGGAGCTGTGATAACAGGGGCAGTGGAGGGCGACCGGGGAGGGGGAGGGGGGACGAGGAGAAGGAGAAAAGGGCTGGAGGCAGAGAGAAGCCGAGAAAGAGGGAAAGAGGGGAGGAAGCCGCAGGTCTGACTTGCCTCCGTCTCCCGGCGGCAGGTCCGCCCGACAAGCCAATCGAAAAACCGCGCCCCATCCCCGATGATCGGCCTTGCCCTGTCCCATCGACGCTGGCTCCGGAACGCTGGGCATGCCCTCCCCCCCC